AGGAGTCCAGTGGCACCTTAAAGACGAAAAGATTTATTTGGGCATAAGCTTTTGTGGGTAAAGATAAGAAGAGGGTTTTTTACCCACAAAATAAATAAATCTGTTCGTCTTTAAGGTGCCACCGGACTCCTTGTTGTTTTTGTGGATACAGACTAACATGGCTACCCCCTGATACTTTTTATCTTAGGGAGTTTTTCCACAGTGCCCATTACCACAGTAGCTAAATGAGTGCAAGGTAATTATATCTGCATGCACTAGGTTCCTAGTGAACTTTACAGTCTTCTGCTCTTCTTCCTTTCCTGCTATGAGATAGTTTTGCTTGGGATTATATATAATTTTATTCTCTCTTTTCTTTTCCCTCACCTGTACCCTTCTGGTATGGTTGGAAAGCTCTTAAACTGTAGGGTGTGCATCATACCTTACAGGTGGTCAAGAGAGATTAATCTGACCTCCTTTCAGAGCTCAGCCTCCAGTCAAACCCCTTCAACTGAGAACACTTTCTCCTGTTGCCCCACACTGAGACTTGTGTAGACATATCCAAGCTAGCTTTTATCTAGACAGATCAAACAACAGTATAGCTACTGCACCATGGATGGCAGCATGGGCTAGCTGCATGAGTTATGTACTCAGGGTCCTAGGCATGGTTGTACTCGGGGGCAAGCCTGTACCAATGTCCCTGCGGCTACATTGCTATTGTTACTCGATCAAAGCCTAACAGGTGCACCTATGCAAGCTGCAATCACCTCTCCTGAGTGCAGTATAAACATACCCTTAATCTTGGGCTCTGTACATTTAATTCTCTCAGAGGTGCTCAGTTGTCTTGGTGGGTCAAGGATGGAGACGCAGTTTCAACAGAACAGGCCACTGAGTACATCGCCTCTGTGTTCCCCCTGCTAGCACCCAACATTGTTCTGTTGTCAGTTCAAGGTCCTGGTCCTTACCCATTTGATGGCTTTGAAGATCACAGGTCTTGAACTGTCAACAAAACCAGATTGGAAAACAGTGAAGGAATTGGAGCATGGGGTGAGGTATTTGCAGAGGCCTGGCTCATTGAAAGGCAGGCGGCTATATTCTGCATGAGCTGAAAGCCTCTACATTGTTTTCACCTTCAGCTCCAGAAAGAGGAAGTTGCAGGAATTTAGACTGGAGGTGACAAATGCATCAATCACTGGTCAGATTCTTGTCTGAACAACAATATTTTAAGCAAGCTAGAGGTGAAACAAGGAGATTTTCACCACTGATGCTATGTGGTTCATCTAGGCTTAGTGAAGAGTCAAAACAGGGCTATGAGCCGTTGCACCACTTTGATGAATTGAGAAAAGCCTTCAATGAAGGGGAGGATAACATCCTGGCTAATTCTTCAAAGCACTTCCTCTTTATGACCAGCATCACTTTGGTCTTATCCAGAATGAGTTTGAACCAGCTGTTCTTCATCCAGCTACTCATCTCGGACATCTTTGTGATGGCATTGGTTGCCTCTAGAAATGAGCTGTACAGCTGGGTGTCATGGACGTACTGGAGGCAGCGGGGTCTGTGGCATATTGCCAACTCTAAGTGGTCTCCTGTAGACACTGAAAAGGAGGCTGGTCCAGGATATTTTCTTGTGAAACTCTATAGGGGAGAGTTTATGAAGAACAGCAGCTGCTCATCATCATTTTCTAGGTCCCATTGCAGAGGAGTAACTGGAACCATTGTAGTTCAGCAGTTTTCTCCAGCTATAGCATGTAAGCAGGTCAACAGCATTTTGTGGCACTACATTTCAGCACCTATGTTGAAAGCTGTAGAGATCAAGTAGTGTAGGTGCTAAGATGTAACCTGCATCCATTGTCATGAGTAGGTAACCTTGAAGCTCTATTAGTCTTGTCTCCATGGTGCACCCCAGTACAGAAGTTGTGAAGCAGCCAGGAGTTGACAAACGTGACCTGTTTGATTTTGGCTGTCACTACATTCTCAATGGTTTTGCTTAAAAATCAGTTGCAGAGGTTTTCTTCATCCAGTGTTGATAAAGACTAGGTAAACAAATGCAGATTTCAAGGGACATTTATACCATTTTGGGAACAAGTTCTGTCAAATGCCATATCTCAAATATGTTTTTCATTTACACTTCTTAATGCAAGGGAAATCTCAGAATCAAAAATTAAAGAGGAGAAAGATCTATTTGGTCTTCTTTTTCCATCCTCAAGGGATGAGCAAATGCAGGACTGTTCCCTACAATGGAGACCACTCTATTTCTCTTGGGATACTATTTCAAATTTTAACAGCAATCACTGCTAGTACATTTCCTCATCCCACCTGGAACACTCTTGCTCAATGTCCCTCAATACTCCTAATACCACCTCTCGGAATTATCCTAATGAATTCTTATTACTCTTCAACATTTAAATCCTTCACATGCCTTTTGAAAGTTATATTCTATTCCCCCAAACAACATATATACCACTTAGTTGCTTTTCAGCTAAGCTATACATTAAAAAAAAAAAAAGTTCCCTGATGAAAAAAGCCAGCCTATACACATTTAACTTTTGTTGCTTTTTTTCCTGAGTTCCCTCCAATTAATCAGCATATTTCTTATACTGAAGTGCTAAGGAACAGTTTGCAACATTTTAAATGAAGCTCCAACAGGGCATAAAGAGACAATTAGCAGCTTAGTTTGTAACTTGTCTCTAAGGGCTGGTCCACACTACCCGCCTGATTCGGCGGGTAGAGATCGATCTTCTGGGATCGATTTATTGCGTCTCATCTGGACGCGATAGATCGATCCCAGAAGCGCTCCCCCGTCGACTGCGGAACTCCTGCTCGCCGAGAGGAGGAAGCGCTGTCGACGGGGGAGCCTGCTTGCGCCGCGTGGACCCAAAGTAAGTAAATTTAGTTCGATCTAGGAAACGTCGACTTCAGCTACGCTATTCTCGTAGCTGAAGTTGCGTTTCCTAGATCGATCCCCTGCCCCAGTGTGGACCTGCCCTAAGTGTGCTACTCAGAAATCAGTTATTTTATCAATTTAACAACAGAGTTCATTTTCTGTAACTTGCTGTCCAGTATGACCTAAGACCAAGATTTTCAAAAATAGGAACCTAAAGTCAAGCTTCTATACTCTTCTTCAGGCTCTTACAAAAGTGACCAAATTTTCAGAGGTGAGGAGCAGAGAATGGACAATAGGAGTTGTTGACAGATAAGCACTGTTGATGCATCATGCCACTTAGAAATCTCAATAAGGAAGCTAAAACTCTGTTATATTCATATTTTAAAACCTTGGCCAGATCTTTTTCAGTACTGGTATCTGCTAAGTATCTATTACGGAATCTCTCTCCCAGATTTAGGCATAATCTGATTTCATGTTCTACCCATATTTCTAATTTCTCTGCCCTCAATGCTATTGCTTCCCGCTTCAAATATTATTAAAAGATGTTAAAGAAGGACCATGAAGGATCCCTATGGCACCCCACTGGACAGTTCCCAAAGCAGATGATCATTTATTATATTTTGCTTAGTCTTTCTGGTAGTTTTCAATCTAGATGACAATGTTCATATGCATACCAAAAAGACAGTTTTCCAGTCAGATTGCTAAAGTTCACATATAATTATTGCATTATGTCATCCATCACTTATGTTAACTTGATCAACAAAAATATCAAAAATTTTCTCAGCATGATTTGTTCTTTGCAAAGCTATGCTATTTAGTGCTTATTTTTCCGTTATCATCTAAATAGTTAGACAGTTCTTCCATTATTTTACTACGGATTGAAGTTTGTCTTGTCAGATAGCAACTGTCAAGACTGAGCATTACGTACAACAGTTGCTCTTTCTGATTCCTCTAGTACCTCCCTAGTTCTCTATGACTTGTCAAAAGCAATTGTCAGGGGTTCAAGTATGTACATTAGCAAATTCCCTTACAGACCTGGGATGTATGTTATCCAGACTTGCTGATTTGTATATATTCAAATTGTTCAAGTATTCCCATATGTGCTTTTTATCAAGAATTAGAAACTAGTAAAATATCTTTGGCTTTATCAAACTTTGGAAAACTAATGTGCAAATTGCTTGAAATTTTCTGACTGTTTTTCTTTCCAGAACACCTTTGAATTCCAGGATTTGCATGGAACACATTTTTATAGGAGTTTTTAATACGGAAAATAATTGGAAACAGAACCCAAAATATGGGTTGCAAACTGAGATTACACAATAGGACAAATAATAGCAGCAGAGTTAATTTTTAAAAGGCAAGTCATTTTAAGTCTTACTTTCTTTGGTGTTATAAAATAAGAATTTTCTTAAATCTTTAGTTTTAATCTTAGGGCTTGTCTACACTTACCAAAGGATCGATGCTGCGGTGATCGATGCATCGGTGGTCTATTTAGCGGGTAGCGAAGACCCGCTAAATCGACCGCCAATCGCTCTCCCGTCGACTCCTGCACTCCACCTGATCGAGAAGACTAAGGCTCTCCTGTCGACATCGCATAGTGTGGACCCCGCGCTAAGTAGATCTAACCTACGTTGATTTGAGTTGCAGTATTCACGTAACTCAAATTGCATAGCTTAAATCGACTTTTCCCTTTAGTGTAGACAAGGCCTAAGAGTCAATGTATTATTACATCCACAATACCTATCCTAGAAATAAATAAAAAGCATTTATTGTATACAGTACACCCTTGCTATAACAAAAGACCCACTGTGGGGGGAAGTGGAGGGAATAACTCCTCCAGCCTGTCGCAGTGGTGGGGCTCAAGGTGAGATCCAGGGACTGGGTTCATTGTATCTGAAGGTTTGTTATTATGAAGGGCATTATAGCAAGGGTGTATTGTAGTAGTAGTAAATTAATTGGAAAGTTATTTCAAGATATTGTACTATTATTGGCACTACGGATTTTAAATTAAGAGATAAACCGGGAATATACTAGTTTTATATATCCATTGATAACTTAACTCCTAGTTTTAAATGGGTTAAATTTGAAGTGTAGATTAATAATTAAATAGCTATACTGCAAATCATTACTCCCAACTTACCTGGAACTAGTCCAGCAGTAGCAGGACTTCCCATGGAAGGGTGAGAGAACAAGGCTTGAGAGAAGGCAGACATACTTGACTGAGAAACATTATTCAGCCTGGAAGTTGATCCTCCTTTCGGAATAAACTCACTTGCTGTAGGATTTGGTGTCTGTTTAAAAATCAGATACAGTAAGTTAATGTTTATTTCAAGTGTGAAGATATAGACAATGCCTATTAAGCTCAAAAAACTTTCTAGGCAGAGGGTATGGGATATTTTAAAGATTTGCATACAGCTTGTCTGAATAGATATATATAGAAAACTACATTGCATAAACAGATTTTAAAGTTACCTTCTACCTTACATCTTAAGTAGCATTATTGCGCTAGCCTTATGAACATCTGAGTTATAAATTTATATAATACCTTTGCAAAAGATTTGTCAAAATCTCTTCTATTTTAGTATTATGGACCTTTCCAGAACTGAGACTTTGTAACACCACTGCACAGATTGGCACTACTCTGAAGTATTTTAGGGAACTAGACTGCTGAAAGTTCCTCAGAACTGAGAAACAGTTTCAAATTTAAGTTGTAAAAACCACTTCTACTAAAGAAAGGTCATTTCTGTCTCTGTTTCAAACAGGTTTGTATGTTCCTTTTTTTGGGAAGTACAGCTTCCTTCTGTTTTAGGCCATTTCTACACTACCACTTATGTTGGCAAAACTTATATCGCTCAGAGGTGTGAAAAAACACACTGCTGAACAGCATAAGTTTTGCTGACATAAGTGGTAGTGTGCACAGCGCTATGTCAGTGGGAGAGCTTTTCCCACCCACATAGCTACCGCCTCTCATTGGGGGTGGTTTAATTATGTCAACAAGAAAGCTCTCTCCCGTCGGTACAGAGCAGCTACACAAGAGATCTTACAGCAGCAGCTGTAAGGTCTCCAGTGTAGACATAGCCTAAGTTATTTACTCCATTTACATAGCACCTTTAACAAACTGCTAGTTGCTACACCACAGACAATATGATTAGACAGGTAACAGTTGAACACCTTAAAATAAGTAAGGCATGTGAACACTTCGTCTGTAAAACAATTAAAATTACTGGTTTTGAACTTGCATTTTAAAAAAGTATGTTTTTCATAGGAGAAGAAATATAAACTGGTTCTAGATGGGCATACAGTACACAACAGGATATCCATCTAAAATAAACTTAAGTGTACAGAAAACATGTGAAGTTGAGAGTAGGAAATAAAAATAAAAATGAACAAAATTCTACAAGTGGAGGTGTATAACCTGAAGATCATTAAGTGTTAGTTGGCAAATTTAAGTATACGTTCTCAGATTCAAAGGGAACTGCTGCAATTGCCTGAATAAAGGAGGTAAAAAGAGTGAAAATCAGAAAGAATAATTTAGCAGCAGAACTTTGAATGGACAGCAGGCTGTTGACAAGATAATGGTTGACAAAAAACAAAAGCAAAAAACCCACACCCTCACAGCAATTAAAAGAGGTATAGACCATACTTTAGGTAGTTGAAATAAAAAATTACGAGTTTTAAAATTTAGATTAGTTAAGTTACTAAGTTGTACACTTTTCCACAAAAGTGAAAAAAAAAAGTCACAAAGCAATTAAGTTCTTCATTTCACACACATTAGAGGAAAGACATATGTGTGAAATGAAGATTGACTCTGAAGAAAATAATTTGAAAACATTGTTTTAAATACTTTTGGTATTAAAAATAAATTAAAAGAAATGCACCTCCAATTAGACACTTCAGCCAAACACTATGGAATATAATATTTGAAACTTCTAGAAAGGAAGGTTAAATCTGGACATTGCAACAAGGTAGATGATGCTCAAACATTTAAAATCATTCCTACATCCCAGCCCTATGACGAAGATAAATTCTTACCAAAAAATCATCTGATTGTTTTAGGTAGGAGTCAATTTGTGCATGTGTGTGAATATTAAATTTGAAGCACAGTCAATAGAGAACTGTCCTATTTTAGTTACAGCCAAAAGTGCAGACAGGAGAATTAAAATACCTGGACTCATAAGGGTATAAAGGTGTTCATCTACGATGCTAAAGGAGTTGCAAAGTCTGGGTAAGGAAAAAAAATCGAAATCTAAACCAAGACAGGAAAATAAAATGAAAGTTAATTATAACTTGTAATTTTAAATGCATTTAAAAATGCAAAGGGAAAGTTCTAGACAGACACCTGAACATTTTAGGTAAAGGAATAACTGTAGAATGAAATATGCTCTTGAACAGCCTGAAGTAAGATCAGGCAAACATGCATGTGGTCAGTTAGATGAAGAGAGAGGATGCACTGAGGGGAAAAATAGTTTTCAAATACAATACTACTACTGTAAATTCATCAAGCAACATCATTCAAAGTGTTTAAAAACCGGTGAAAAGCTTGTAGAATCAAAGTAAATTGCATCTCAAAGAATGACAGTCCATAGAAAAATAGTTTCTTACAGTTACAAGTAGACCATGAACCCTTCATGTCTACAATATTGTGATGAAAAATCTACCATGTCAAAACATTTTATGAAATTAAAACACCTATACTTCAATGAACAAATAAACAAACCAAAAATGCATCCAAGAAACGCTGATCAGCAAAAATTCCCTCCTGCCTCCTAAAAAGCGGGCAACTTCCAAAACCCCACAATTGATTAATACTTAACTCCCTCAGCTCAAGTGGAAGTCCATTCCACTGTCTATAAATTCATACCACTATAAATTCCTAAATATATTCCACAAATTTAGGTACCCAAGTTCTGGTCTGTAGAACAGCAACCAGTAGGTTCAAACATTTTAAAATGAAATTCTACTCCAAATGTTCCCACTTGCCACTCTATACTTCGGTTTATCCAAATTAGGTGGCTACACCTGGATGCTATACTCCATATATGATCTAAATAGTACTTTATAATGAAACTGCAAAAAATACCCTTGATTTGACATTATATCTCTTGATGAATAGCAATATCCTATTGGCCTTTTTAGTCTCTCTCTCTCTCACACACACACACACACACACACACACACACACACCCCCACCCACTTCTATGCTGGTCAAGGAAGAGATTTGAGGATTTAAACACGCTTCCAATTTCTAACCCACTTGGCTCCATACCCATTGATCAAAAAAAACACAAGTAGGTTATAAACCATTATAATCAGAATTTGAACAGTAAAACATTCTACGGTCACAAACAAGCAATATTTTCTAATTTAATATAACATCATGATCAGAAAATCCGACGTTTAGTTCCCAAAGCAAGCTTAACTGCCATGTTACACACACGTTTACAAAAGCTTTTAAGAACAGATGAATTTTCTGAATGTGTAAGCTCACAGCTGTAGTGCCACATTATATTACTGTGATTCTTCTGCATCTTGAGTTCCTTGTTACATGTGCATTTTTAATTTGTAATCACTTGAAATCAATGAAATTTCATTTCATTTTCTGGCTTTCTAGATATATGACCACATGTTTAAAATAGGCAGCCACAGTATGTACACTGTGCACATTCAAAATAGTCAAAGAAGTGACATATCACTGTTAATTGTCTATAATTGCTATTCATTTCAGTGTTCTTTTCCAAACTTCACAAAATGCATTCAAACCCAACCACCAGGTATATGCCAATTTTGAATGCAAGATTAAGAAATCAGTTATTAATGCTCTAAATAAGTACCCGAGAAGGTTCTTATACCTGAAAAAACATCCTGGTCAAACTCTGGCAACACAAAACACCAAATGAAATTTTAAGAAACTTTTGACTAAATTTGAGTCAATGATAAGCCCAAGTCAAGCAGCCCAAAAGGGGATGGGATTGCTTTAAATAGTCAGAAGGACAAGTGCATCATTACAGTTTTATGGGGATTAGTTTAACCCACTATACTGAAATAAGAATGATTCCACTCTGAAGCGACACTTCACCCTTGACTACATGCAGAAATTGCACTGGTTTAATTTAAGGTGTGATTTTTAGAACTATTTAAACTGCTGAAAGGCTGAGAACATTTATTTTGGTTTAAGACAGGCTTGTTGCACTTTAGTTTAAGTCTTTTCCTAATTGAAAGTGCAGGGAGAGTTTCTTTCTTTCTTAGACACAAAGAAAATTTACTTCATTCCAATCTGCTACACTTACGATACTCCACTGAAAGCAGTGCCCTTTTTTTGTGGTGATGTGCAAAAATACAAAGAACCCAGTTTGACCCTCTGAATCCTGGTAGAGGGTGCAGGATTGGCAATTCAACATATTTGACATGAAGATCTCTGACACACAATACAGAAACTCTCAGTCATTTTTATAGTTTTCTGAGTGGAACTTTATGAAGCTTTCTGACAGAAGTTTGACTGAATAACATCCTTTAGATCGTGAGTAACCAACATGTATTTGAACCAACATGTTCAGAAGGAAAAAAGTATTTCCTAACCACATTTCTGAGATACTTTTTTTTGAAAAATTTTAATAGGTTCTGAATTTCCTATAAGAGCTGTGTAAGCAGAGTCACACAGAGCTCATGTTCAGCTGCTTATCCACCACCACCACCACATTAAGAAACCTGCTGGGAGAAGGGGGAGCACTTTACTGCTAGCTTCTCTCTTGCAAGTTTAAAGTTTTTAAATTTAGAAATAGTAGCGCAAGGAATTTTACCAGCATCTAAAAACCTAGGTTTTTTGATAATCATTAAAAAACAAACAAAACAAAACCTATAATCAGAAGAGAGGACAATGTTGTAAAGAGGAAGATCATTAAAGATGCTATCTTGCACCCACAAGATTAAGGCAGTGGTTTGCAAAGCATAATATTTCAGTATCTCTTTGCCTCAGATTAAACAAACTCAAAAATTGGGGCTAAAATTGCTAGTCAATAATCCGAGTAAGAGTAACCTAGAAGCAAGAAAAAGCAGTGTGACAATGGCAATTTCCTACAGATCCTTGGGAGACCTTATTGAATTAAGTTCAAGTATATTTGGGGTCCATTGTTTTAAATGAAGGGTTTATGTAGGATTGTATTCTACTTCCAGGGGGAGGGCTACCACAGCTCCTCCAGGAACTAAAAACAGTGGGTGCTGATTAAGGCAAACCAGTCAGGTTATAGCCCCGCCTCAGAGAGGTATCACCTCCTGGGGCAGCTCACATATATTA